GAACAATCGATACATCGCAATTCACGCCACGCCACTGTCCCCGGAAATGCAATTCGGGGTCTCGTGACTGGTGCTAATCTGTGCGTCGCAGTTTCCAATCCACGCGCGTTTTTCCTTCGAGTTTGACTCGCTGAATCAAACATAATTGCCAGATTTCACGAAAAATCGAATATTTTCAGGTTCGAAGCACTAGCTGCCGAATGGACTTCTACGATCTGGCAATTGTGGTTTTAATCAAAGACTCACCGCGAGGAAAACTGCGGACAGAAGAGGAAAATGAGTTGAGGAAACAAAGCTCGAATTCATCTTGGTAGTTTTATCTCTAGTGTAGATTAAAGGATGTCATTGATCCTCAAAGTTGAATGACAGCGAGGTCCCCGGAAGATACTGATTGTGTAAAATTACTCACTCGACACCGAGCCATGGACTGATCGTTAGTTTTAAAGGAGCGTAAAAACTTTTGTAGGGGTCAGTCACACAAGACAATTTTTGTAAAAAAGTGCCAAAAATCGCGTACTCACTTGCGCTAAATTAATTTAATCGGGACGAAGGAGACATATGACATTTAATAAAGGACAATTAATACAGGACAATTTGACATTTAATAAGGACAAAGTTGCACGCAGCGAACATCATCAGCAGGCTGATGATGGGGCCATCTCGACCCCGAAACGCGTCCCGATTAAATTAATTTAGCACAAGTGAGTACGCGATTTTTATCACTTTCCTAAAGGAGCGTATACTAAGAATATGTCGCATCCTGGGGGAAAAATGCTATTGGGAGTAGTTTTAAATTCAACCAGTGGTATTTTCTCCCGTCAAAACTAAGCCGAGAACATATATTTCGAATGTGAAAATAGTCGTTTAACTTTGTCCTTTAATTTGAGTCATACGGAGGCCATTGTGCTGAAAATTCGGCAAATTTTACCATTTGACTCATTGATAACTATCCCCGTTTTTCACACCATCTGGCAATCGTGACGCAGGCATAAAACTGTATTCCTCTATCTCTCGGTTCAAACTTTATGCAACTATTTCTTAGAGTCTATAGACTTTAAAAAATAGTCTTAGAGGAGGATGAAATGGATTTGACTCATGTTAGGTATTATTTTTCCTATGATCGGACAATTCGAATTTCCGGTACCAATGTATAATAAAACCGGTATTATCTTACCTAGAAGTTGATTTCAGTAGTTTTCGTTGCGCAAATCGCGTGTCCTACGTAAAATTCTGGTGAAGAATCATATATCAGAGTGCCTAAATTCGTACTTTGTTCAATGGCCCATTCAATATAAAACGTGAACAAAGAGAACTTTCCCAACTTTTCTCGGAAAAAATATGTTATCGGGAGAAATGAGGCAACGTCGGAATGCTCATATGGCGTCAAAATATACTATGGGCCTTTTAAGCTCCATTCTTCGATGCCGCGATTATTCAAACAAGAATTTGAATATTCGCGCCAAACACAGTGCGGGTAGCATTGAACGTATATCAGCCCCTGCAAGACCGTAAGAATACTTCACGCATTGCGCCAAACAGTGCGGTTAGCCCGCAGCGCATATTAGCGCCTACACGAAGCTAAGAATACTTCACGCATTGCGCCAAACAGTGCGATTAGCCCGCAACGCATATTAGCGCCTACACGAAGCTAAGAATACTTCACGCATTGCGCCAAACAGTGCGGTTAGCCCGCAACGCATATTAGCGCCTACACGAAGCTAAGAATACTTCACGCATTGCGCCAAACGCAGTGCAGTCAATCAGATGGTGGGAGACGCATATTGGCGCGTATACGAGACTATAGGAATATTTCACGCATTGCGCACACAGCATAGTTCGCGCTTAAAGCGTTGTAATTTCTCGGTGTCAGAACCACCACACGCGGTGCGTTTGACACAACATCCGACCTGTGTACACCACGAGCCTGCAGTCCTCGGAGAATCGTAGAGATTTTCCTGTTTTCTGTTAACTTTCCCATCATTACAGAACCCTCATTTCACCTCATCTACTGGCCCTTCAGACGAATCAAACATAAAAATTTGCCAGTTTTAGTTGCAAATTTCACGTCAAACTTCGCCCACTAGCTCACTCTACTGTCTCGCAATTTTGATGTTATTTATGTCAGGGCGAATCCGTATATAATAAAGTGTAGGCGCCCGGCAAGGCGTGGGTCTAGGTATGTTTCTCGCTACCCCTCCACGCGGCGCATAGAGCGGTCTATGTTAGTATTCATACCCACCTTTATTTTAAACTTTCGAGCCAGTCTGTCTTATGATAGTTGAAGCTCCTAGCAGGTTAGCCCAGACCGAAACTAAACCCCCGCGTGGGTGTGGCCAAAATGGGTTGATGTGCATTTGGGGCTTAAATTGTCATATTTGCACGCAAATTGGCCACTTTTTACCTCACGGTTACACCCCCCCCCCCACCACCAAGGTAGTAATAGGGAAATGCGACTGAAGCGTGAGTTAGGAAATAATCAATCCATAAGTATAGCAGTCGTTATTCGAATTCATTTACGGCGGGCAGAACGAGATGACTATTCGACCGCATATTGCCGCTGGCTGGGAGTGAGGGCGCATCATACTGCGACAGGGTGGAGAAATTTCATGAAAAATAAAATCTTGAAATAGCAAAAATGTATGAAGGATATTGAAAAATACCGATTCCTTTTCAAGTTTCGGAAAATGTAAAAATTGTGACTTTCTTCTGTTTCTGTGCGGGTTGCATACTCTATCCCCTGAAAAATTTGAAATATTTCCCAGCCTCGTGAAATTTCATGAAATATTTCACTGACTGTTCCAATCTTTCATTCCTTTCTTATGTTTCATGCCACCCTGTACTGAGAAGATGACCCAATCGATACCCTGGCTCCCGTGGCGCTAAAATATCCGCAACCTAGGATTATGTGTTGTCATTCTTGACTGTCTGCTTCAGTTTTTACCATAATTGAGGGGGGAATGTTTATTTTTTTTTTTTTGTTTCTTAAGAAGAAAAGAGAAATAACGAAAATATAGCGTCGAAATTTTCATTTGAGATTATCTAGGAAAATTCGCAGAAACTCTTTAAAAATATTTGTGTAAAATGGTTTAAATTACTTTTTTTAAAAACTCACCACTTTCACTTAATATATTTTATGTCGACGCGTTTCGTGACCGATTCAAGGTCCTTTCTTCAAGACGTGCGTGCGGCGCGACTGATTCCGCGGTCGCTGGTGTGAAAGTGCGTTTTTAAAAAAAAGTAATTTTGACTATTTTACACAAAACTTTCACTGTTTGTTCAAATTGTTTAAAAAAATTTTGTAGCCTTTTAAAAATATTGATTAAAAATAAAACGTAACCGTGGTGTACTGCATAACGTCATAGAGAAAAAAAGGAGGTGTTTGCATTTCGGGCATCTTGGAATTTTTTGATGACTTGATGACGTAGGTGGGTACAGCGACGTTTTTATCCTGTCGATTTTCTTGGAAATGGTGTAATTTAAGGAAAAAAGTCATTCTATAAAAAGTGCTTGAAATTATATAATGAGTTGATTTAAGTAAAAAAAATCGGACATTATGGTCCGTTTTTCATATTTAGCTAAACGTCACTGTACCCACCTACGTGATCAAGTCATCAAAAAATTCCAAGCTGCCCGAAATGCAAACACTTCCTTTTTTTTCTCTATGGCATAACGCCGCAATCAGAGATAAATACGCTTCCTTTCGCGCGCACCCGTCCGCCTTTGAATCCATTCATCTCTTGAATAACTTGAACATGGTTGCTCTACGATTTCTTACGTGTTGTTTTTTTTAGGGGCTGGAAGCCGCCCGCGTAGCGTCCACAGTTTCCGAGTCTTATCGGCCCTTAATCTCATCTAAAAAAAGATCATACAGGAATTAGCGAACAGTAGCGTGGCGTGTCTTTCGATGTATCGGTTGTTCTGCCATTTAAACCTATGGGAAAGGATCGATAATCAGGGTGCTCGCCACGAACACCTTACTAATCGATTCTTTACCACAGTCTCAAATGGCGGAACATCGGTAAATCGGTAATTTACGCCTCACCACTGTTAGGGAATATCTATGCTTACTTACGCAAAACGTACGACTATATTCAAGTAAGAATAACTGAGGACAAAAAAAATCATTGAATTGTGCGTCCTCCGTCACAGCTGCATTGGAACTTCTCGTTTACATCCAATCTTTAAACACAAAATTGTTCTGGAATAATGAGTCAGATGCTTTTTTACCCAATATTCAAAAATGGCAATAGCGGGAAAAAATTGTCCAACAAGAGTTTTTTTTTTTTTACAAAAAATTTTATGAAGCAATTATCCCGAGTCCATTCTATCAGCTTTTCATTTTTCCACATGAAACCTTCAGAAAAAGAGGAAAGTTATCAAACAAATTCGTGATTCCGATAGCAGTAGCTGTTACTTCAAGACTTCTAACGAAAAATAAGAGAAAAAAAAAACGACTATGTGTGCACTTTGGCTTGGGGTGGGAGGAAATCAGCGTTACAGTCCTGCCGAATTAATACGTAGAATGCGAAATAATATTATATAGTCCATGCTATGCGCAAAACCAAAAAATGGACGTAAGATTTCCAGTAAAATTACTGCTATGTAGTAAAAAAAAAAAAAAAAAACTCGTCGAAGTGCAACGCGGCAAAAAGAATCCAAATGGGTGTGCCAAACCGTAAATGCAACCACTTTTTATGCCACTTCTGACTCAAAACTTTAAATTTTTGTTTCATCCACTGTAATCGATGTACATCATCAACAGATATTAATTATCAAAATGCGAATACTTAGCTAACCTTCGATTAAAATAGCAATTCATTTATTTTTTCAATTTCTTTTTTTTTTTTTTTTAAGTTTTAATCTTAGCAAAAGCTAGAAGCGACTATTGCATTTCTTTCAGTTAATAGTCATAAATTCTAGGGATCACGAAAAGACAATTTAAAGAAGACTCGTCATTAAAAACTTATCGTCCTCGCGAGAAAAATAAGCTTGGAGGGAACGAGTAGCAAAGGTCGACATCGGCAATGGTCGATTCGTGGCGAACGGTCAGAGGTCGATTCGCGAACGGTCATACGTCGATGCCCGAACGCACCGAACCAATCGAACCTAGTTCACCATTGTGCATTTTATTTTACTTTTCATTTTATCGTTTGTTGCAAATGGAGCATTATGTATAGGCTGCTTGTCTTTGCCGTGGACGACACTAAAGACCTCTAAGTTTAAGTAGCTCTCTTAGCAGAACGAGAGCCATACTGGATCAGGAAATTCCATCAATGGTTGTAAATTAAACTAAATTTATGCTTTGTTTCTGACCCTTAAAGTAGATACCTAAGTAAACAGGTCTCGATTTTTAATTTGACCTCGACTGATGAGCAATAAAAGCCTAGCGTATTAATGTCTTCCTTTTCTTCATCAGAGAAAGGCTATGTCCAATAATAGACTTAATTGAAAATGAACTTTGGAGAAACGTTCTCCTCTTAATTTTGCACCATGATTTGAAGAGAAAGGTCTTCAGGATTTTTCCATTCTGATACTTGGAGGGAATTTAAGTTTTTTTAATATCTTTTCTAATAAGACCCAGCTGGGGCGCTAAGTGGCTTTTTTTATTTGTTTTTATCTTTTAATGTGATTAGACATACACATCAATGGTGAACCTAGAAAAATTTCCATTGTGCAAGGAATATGGATTGATAGCATCTCAGAATCGGTGCGTTACATGCAATTTTTCTTCATGTACTGATCCGTTATGCTTCAAAATAGTAAGAAATTTAAGAACATCTGAAATGATGCAACTGCAGATAGGATAGTGGTTAAGTGATGTCACCTTCATTATGCATCCCCTTAAAATGGAAGGATTTATAAAATGAACTTCAAATTTCTTCAGAAAGTGAAAAACTCTTATGAAGTTGCGTGTAAAAATCAATGTCTCATTTCTGTGTTTTCAGAAACAAGTCGCGGTGAAAATGCCTAATTTTTTTTTTAATTTCATGGAAAATAAACTTGATTTTGCTCGTCTTTGAAAGTATCATGTCCTACCGCAATGTGCAAAAAGAATGCTCGATAGGTACCTATGTCATAACTTTTTCCATGTTTGAATTAAAATGTTCCGATTAGGACTAGTGGGAGAAGTTCCAGTTGTACCTACTTCTTTGAGGCTGGGCCTCAGCCGGCTCTTTCACTTTTGCAGTCAAGTATACTTACAATTAGTGTTTCATCCTCTTATCTTTTTGTGTTCGTGTTTTCAGCACCCTGTCTCTCTTTAGTAGGGAGCCGAGGCACCCTTCTATGACTCAGTCTTGTCACGTTACAGTATGAGGAACTGCGCAAAAGCAGATTGAAGCAAAGGAAACTGTGTCGGTAGTAAATTCTAGGTATCCTACATGAATGTATTTATTTCCAAGTAACTCCTGTGGGTAACAAAACGTTGGCTTCCACATCAAGAATAAAGTTGTCAAAGTAGAGGCTTGAAAGCAACTTACAATGAGGTAGATGTAAAGACCTGTGATATTAAAGCGTATTAAAGGTGATAAGGAACTTTACCATCGAAGAAATCTTCAGTCATGGCGACTATGACCATGGAGCAGAGACGTTTCCCTCGCTGTATAAGAAAATCTGCCACTAAAGTTTTTCAAGAACAAGAAAAGCTACAGTTTCATCTGCATTTTTCATCAACTTGGTTCTCAAGAAACCTTCAATGATCAGACGCAATGATATGCTCCTCTGGCGTGGTAGCGAGTGGAGATAATCTATGAACTGCTGAAAGACTACTTTTTCCTCAAAAAGTGGATTTTTCCACCTACCTAAGCGAAAGTCGTAGAATGTCCACTCAATTAGGGCTCAGACTGAAAAAGAAATTAATTAATTAATTTAAACTGACTCAAAAACACTTCTGGATTGAACAGCTTCGATTAACTTCCCACCGTTCCGACAATGAACAGCAGTGGCTAGACAAGAAATTACTACTAAACAGACACACTGCCAAAAAAATAATTTATCCGAAGACATGCGAAAATTTATTCAGTGAAAAATATTAGACATTCTTGACTATTAAATATAGGTAGATGTACTATTACTATTACTAATGTCCTCAAAAGGGGTTAGTTTAATGAGAAACAATAACAAACTCGTCCGAACTCGCCCCGGCGAATGTTCATGACATTCGCGGCAGTTCGCGGAACCATTCGACCCGTTCGCTTCGAGTCGACGACTGCCCTTTTTTCGAATTCGACTTCTGCCGATGTCGACGATTGAACTCCGCTCCTTGGAGGTAGGTAATATAGTGCCACAACCTAGCGGCCGCGGTTTGAACTAACGCGGGTCAACTGGTGCTCAGCTGTTCGAAGCACATGGCGATCAGTTTGTGTTTACCGCGGTGTTCGGCGTGACGTGCCGTCAGATGCAAATGCGAATCGTGGAATCCTCGTGAATTCTCTCGTTGGATAATAACTGCGTCGTGATCGAGTGGATTTCTAGTTAAGTTTCAATCCCAAAATAATCCGGGTTCTTTGACTTCAATTTCTGTCGAGCGTCTATCGTGTCGAAGCTTTAAGTAGTAGTTATAAGTGCGGGGTATTTTAGTGGTGGTTTTCCTTGTTTTAGAATCTATTGAAAATACATTTGTGCTTGTTGTTATCACTTCATTGGATCTTATCGCCGGATGATTGGATTTTATTCTCCTTGGTGTTTCTTTATTCAATGAAACTGACTGCTCTTCAGATTGAGGTAATTCTTTGAGAAAACGTTTTACGCATGTCAACTCTACTGAATTCGGGACCATCTTCTCTAAGGCTATATGCTCTTGTTATCTCTTGTTTTTCTTAGACCTCCGGCTGTTTGATACACACAAACGCTGACCACTTATCAAAAACCGATGAATTAATTTATTAATCTTAAAATGCTCAATCAGAACAGGAAATGTTAATCGCAGTGTCAGAAATGAACTAAGTCCTGCAGAAAGGGACCAAGTCTCGTCGAGATTGAATCGAGAAAAACAAGTTTTGGTTATAAATGAGGCACTCTTAGAGATCCCTCTTCACCTCTCCTATTCCTCTATTTCTTCAAGGTTTCCTCCATTTTCTCGTTTCAAATAATTGTTCTCGACTTTGGATCTTTGAAAGTCAGCAAGGAGAAGAAGAGTAAAGCTCCAAAGTTCTGTCCACCGCATTTAAAGTCTTGTTTTATCAAGATAAAGAAATCAAGAGGCGGTAGAACCGTGTGTCCGATGTAAATAACATATCGACGGTGAAACTACCAAACCACGTATCTCGCTTTGCGACGTCGCAGACTTCCTGTCATACTTTATTTTTTAAATGAAAAACTATTTAACGTCCAGTCTTGAAAATTTCTGTGATTTTTCCTCTTCGCGCGGAGAAAATTCTGTGAAAATTTCAAGGAATGATATTGATTCGGTCTACTTCCAAAAAATAAAATGTGAGCGTAGATTTTTAAACACCGCAAACGAGATACGTGGTTTGGTAGTTTCACCGTCGATATGCGTCCTTTTCGAAGATGCACAGGTATCTACACCGTGACAACTCTATTCTCGTATACCTATTCCTAATTTCATGTCTGAATCGTTACGCTTCGCAGTCACTCCATCGGCGTAAAACTGCTGTGATAATAATGGTTTACATAATATGATTTACATACCCACACTTCAGTCTACGGGTGTACAGTCGACGTCGTTTTCCTCACAAGAATATTTCAATATTCACATGCATTTAGGAGGATGCAAGTCCAGCTATGTCTCTTTTCTCTGCTCTAATTTGTAATTCTCACACCCACGTGGTTTGCGCTCATATCTTTCAGGTGACTTAAGTATCTAATGGGAGAGTCCCGAAGTGTTAGAATGTGGTGCAGTGATAATCACCCAGATCACATGGAGGGGGGGAGGGGGGGCTAAAAAAAAGCCAACCGATATGCAGTTTACTAGAAGTATGTGTATGTCGATGACCGAAGTGTGAAACCACGTATCTCCGTTTGCGACGTTGCAAACTTTCTGTCAAACTTTTTTTTTCTCTGCAAGACCAGTCATGACGTAAATTCTTGAAAAGTTACTTGATTTTTCTTCTCTGTAAGCGGAGTATTTTGTAAAAGTTTCTAGTCATAAAATTGGTTTGTTTCTCATCGGAAAAATAAAACAGGAGCAGATAATTTGAAACACCGCAATGGAGGTACGTATGGTATGTTGCAGCGGTACTGCAGGTTAATGATGTATAGTACAGAGTACTGTTTTCTTCTGTCAACGTCTTCAAATTCATTGGTTAAGAGAGTAGAAGGAGCAGGGGGAGAGGGCTGAGGGGCATAGACCACTTTTCCGAGTAAGCATGTTTTCAAGTTGCAAATAAAGTAGGTCAAATTCGATTGTAATCGGATATGATTGGATCATGCACGGATTGAGTTCAGAATGAGTGAGCTGGAGTCTTAGTCAAGCATGAAACTCAAAAACTTCCAACGTAGATGTACGCAGGCGCAAGCATATGCGTTTGAATGTTTAAAAACGGTGTCGATTAATTTTTGTCTCCAAATCTGCTCCCTGTCAGCAAACATGAATTTCACCTGCTTCAGCTCATCCGATGAACAGGGTGTGTTGGACTTTTATTACATTAAGTTTTTTCAAAAAGGATTTGTTTATATTCCACCCATTCGAGGGACCAATCCCGAGAGAGCTTAACAAGAATATTCTAGTTTCTGGAGATGAGGCTTGCTTGAATATTTCCTGACCGCATTTTTGGAAGTAATTGGAGAAATTTCAGCTGAATCCGCCTCTATTTAGACGCCAACGCAACGGTGTCATCGATGCCCCGAATATCCATCAAGTCACCAACCCGGAACCTGCTCTAGCTGTGAAAATGTAATTGACACTGGTCTTGCTTTAGCTTAGAATTTCGGAACAAGCATGCAGCTTCCGAGAACTTTCTCCAGCCGACCAAATTTTCACGTTTTCGTTTTGCCTTCTCCAAGAGCGGCTCGTATTTCGAGATCCTCCTGCTGAAACCTTTAGAATGTTGTCATGTTCCTATGTTCATTAGAACACCAATCACTAACACGCATATCGACGGCGTAAGTCCGCAATCACATATCTCGTTTGATGTGTCTGAAAATATCTGCCTCTATGATTTTTTTTTTTTAAAGGGAAACTGATTGCCATCATTCCTTGAAGTTTATGCAGAATTTTCTTCGCACTGAGAAGAAAAATCACGGCAGTTTTTAAAAAAATTGCCGTTAAATAGTTTTCCGTTTAAAAAATAAAGGATGGCAGGAAGTCTGCGACGTCGCAAACCGAGTTATGTATTGCCAATTTACACCGTCGATATTCAACACTTATATTTAGTGAAGATTGGTGACTTTTTGAGAAAATTTTAACATATGCGGATCAAGAGGATAGGAGAATGAAATTAGCTTTTGGACCGTTTTAGCAGAAAAGAACTAAAGGCACATCAGCTATTGCCAAATTTAACTGGAAAATTTAATTTTTTTCAAAAGAATGTTTGTGCGGATTTTATCGAAAATTTGAAGAAATTTGCTTCGTACCATGCAAAAAATTCACTGAAATTTGTGCAGTGATCCGGGCAACCGTTTTTATGCAAAAAATTGAATTACCGAGTCAAATTTGACAATAGCTGATGTTGCTTGGTTCCTTTCTGCTTAACGCTGTCCATTTTCAATAAGGCGATATTGGTTCGATTTTTAGGACGCATATAGCGTGCGTTTTAGCTTGCAAGAGGCAGCAACGCTTTTCTGGGTGTCAATATTTTTCCATACTCTTAAGTGCCCGCAATCACTTTAATTTTTTTTCGCATATAGGTATAATTTGAGTTTTTGCTCTGAACAAAAGATTTGTTTATAACAGAAGGGTTTTACTTCGGAAATTTCTAGACCCCCTCCCCCCCCCCCCCCAATCGTTCATAGTTATTGCCCTTTCAAGTAATTTCCCAAAAGTCGTCGCGCACATTATTTTGGCTTTAGGTATCTTAATGACCTGTCGAAACTGAATGTATTCTTCTAGCCCTCGGCAACTCTTTATACCGATATATTCAAGTATAAAAATCACATTCGCCCATTGGACGTTCACAAGTAGATATACAGATCTCCACAAATTGAAAATGAGAATTTGCATAATCTTCATCGGGGTTTTCTCATCCTTTTTTTCCTTTGATTCTCGACAGTCTAATTTGACACATCAATTTGGAAGGAAGCAAATGGTCGGTCGAAAACACTTGAGATTTTGGAGGGTCAAGTCTGTCAATTATTTTTTGTCAAAATAAATTGAAAATCATCAATTACACATTCTTGTTCCTTTCGGCCATGGACTTCGTCCACCTTATCCTCCCGAAAGTGCGGTTTCATTGAGTGGCGTGGCGTGCTTTGCGATGTATCGATTAATCTGCCACTCAAACCTGTGGAAAAAGATCAATGAACAGGGTGTTCGCGACGAGCACTTTAATAATCGATTCTTTACCATAGCTTCTAATGGGGAAGTATCGATAATAATCGATCATTCACGCCTCGCCACTGGTTTTCATTCCAAGTCTGACCTCGCTTTTAAGAGATATTCGTAAATTGGACGTATTTTAACAAATCGACAGTATAATATACTGTAGTCCCCGTGGTTTATGCTCACTATCGATCCATGGACCTATTTATTACCGTGCTAGGGAAAAACGCCGTATGAACCTTCAGGCGTTGCCAAATTACCTTTGATAAAACAAGAATTTCCCGGTAAACTTATGAATATTTTTCTTTCAATTTTTCAGAGAATTATGTTCGTATTTTGTTTTAAAGTTCCTGAAAATGTCAAAGAAAAATATTCACAATTTTCCTCAAAAATAAACATTTTATAAACAGGATTTGGCAACTCTTGAATGTTCATACAGCGTTCTTCCTTAGCACGGCAGTTTAGATCTCCTATTCTTAACTCATGTTTTTTGATTCTCTGTCGATTGAATCACACGAGTCTTTATCTCAAGTTCGGTTGGATAGCAAGAGATTGGGGGAAGGGAGGAAACGGTCATAATAATTCGCGGGAGTAACGACCGAAGCAGGTTTTCTTGATTTGGAACGGTTGGAGGCCCGCGCGACACGGCGAGCGTCAGGTTCAGCTGTACTTAGGTCAACTTCAACTCCAGCGTTGTCATTAAAGTCTGGAACGTCAATGATTTTCAATGTGAATGAGCTGTACCTTGAGGTGGTAGAAGGTACAACACTTTGGGAAAAGATTTAGTCGATTAATCCTTTGATAATTGGATTGGGGTGCTTCAAATAACTTTCCATTTTTTTTAGACCCTGAAAGAAGACCCAAATTCGAGGAAAATAAAGTTTTCGAAACATCGATCCCTGTAATAAAAAGTCACTTGGATCTAGAGTCCAGACTCTTAATAACATTGAAAAGAAAAAATACTCCTGATTCAATCCGATTTTTCCATGAATCGAAGAGCCTAGCCTCTTGATTTGGAGAATTTCCTTTTGATGCACGCACAAAGAACGATTGAATCGAGAGTATTTTTTCTTGTCAATGTTTTTAAGAGTCTGGACTCTAGATCCAAGCGAATTTTTTTTCCACTGACACTGAGCCTTACATGCACTGACACTGAAAATGAACATTGGCCACGTTGTAGTGTGTGCCGAATACTGGCAGACAACCATTTTCCGTGTCAATTCAAAAAGTGGTCAAAACTAAAATCTCGAGATTGTCACATAATGTCGTCTGGCTCTTGGACTGT